GGCATAAATCCAGCCTGTATAAGGCAGCGGAGCTCGCTCCAGTAGCACCGGGTGCGAGTTTTGGCATGCTCAGCAAGCAGAAGGGCTGCGAGCTCCGGTACACATCCGCGGGCACCGGGCCCTCCTCGCCTCTCCCGCAGCCATTCAAGAGAGAAATCCATTGGGCTGACGTCACATCACCAGCAATTAGCCCCAAAAGGATGATGCGGGAGAAATTTCTTCCCGACTGCCCTCCAAGAGCTCCTGGGAATTAATTTCACATGAAGAGCAGCCGAAACATCACCAGAGCGGGGAACAAAAAAGGCTGGGGAGGGAGTGGGGGGGCTGCAAGAGCTGACCCCCAGCCTCTGCCTGGGACACCCCCTCCCCAGGGACACCACCACCCTCCATCTCCCATCACCGTGGCCAGCAGCAGTTTGTGCCACTGCTGCCCTATGATATGCCACCTGAGCCAGATGCTGCGAGCCTGTCCCAGCAAACTGCCACATCCCCCCCATTTCTCTCTGCCAGCCACAGCATCCAGCCTCGTCTTGCCCTGGCCAGCCCCCCGATGGGGTGCGTGACCCTTGCCAGCTTGAAAACCATTTCTCAGAGCTGCTACAAGGGCAAGGGGGAGTTTGGCTGGAGGTGACAGGCAACGCCAATGTAGGAGTTACATGGGACACTACGAGGATTACCCCAGTAAATATGTGAGATACAGAATTGGTTCTGGCAAAATTGGCTTTAACCAGCTCCAAAAGTTCGGTTATATTATTTTTTTGCTGGCAGGAAAGATGCTTTAAAACCCCTTACACTTGCACTGAAGTAGTCTCCACGCACGGCTGCGAGAACAGGAGCCGTGTCGCTGGCATGCTCATCCAAAACAGCACCCACTGCTGCAAGGGACAGCAGGGACAGCCCCGTTCCAGGGGCAGAGGACACCCAGGCCGGGGGCACACGTGAATCTGTCCCTGAGGCCACCACTGCAGCTCAGCGCCCAGCAGAGACAGGGATTATGACCATCAGCACCAACCTGCACGCGCGGAGGAGCTGCCTCCCCCCTCTTCCTCTCCCCAACCGGCACAACAGCAGTTTCAGCACTCACAAATGCGGCTTTTCAGCGTGACCTTGTATCTGTGATGGAAACTTAACTTCTACCTCTCACACTGCATCACCATCTTTAGGACCCATCCCAGTCAGCCACACGCATTTCTCAGGATTTCACCCTGCTCACAAGCAGGAAGAGCAATACCTGCATCATTTTTCCCATAAAAACAAAACCTGTTTTCTTCCCCATTGAAAAAAAAAAATCGCATTTTTCCCATTAAAAAAAAATCCAAAAGCCAAGCACCTCCGAGGGTTCGGTTACACCAATGGGGAAGTGAGCTTCAACACCACGTCATCAGCTCCAGCATCGAGTGTTCCCAGCCCCAAAGCATCCCCAGCTGCAGTCCTCACCCATCCCAGCCGGCCAGAAATGCTGCCACATACCCGGGCAGAGGGACAGGTTTATTTAACAGATGGTTCATTTAATCCCCCACAAGGAGTTCCTGTGACCTGCCTCAGCTGCCTGCACTTTCGGCACAGGCAGCGGGGTTGCAGGGAAGGGTGCCCGGCATCTTGGGGAAATCTCTTTGTAATCCCAGGGCAAGCACAACCCGCTGAACGTTGCTCCACTGCCCCCCCAGACCAGCCCCAAAACATCCCCAGGAATCGGGCTGACACACATGGCAGGACACCCAGGTGATGAGTACACACCTGCCGTGTCCAAATACCTCCCAGACACACCAAAATAACATTTATCTTCTGAAATTCATATAGCTGTTGCACAGCAGGGCACAGTGCTGCCGCAGCCATCTTGCATCCCAGCAGTTCTGCTTCTAGCCGGGACAGACCCAGCAGCTCACCTCCCACGGGTCTCGTGATGCTCCTCAGCAGGGCTTACATTCCTTACACAAGCGAGAAGAGATGTAATTTCCCCTGCAACCCCCCCTCCCAAGCCGGGCAATGGGTAAATAAGTTCTCTTTACCAAATTCCTCCATTTTGGTGCTGAGTTATGGCAGCCTTCTACATTGCACCAGCATATACTGCATTAGCACAGGTGGGAAACTCATGGGTTATTGCTAACCACAGTGCAGCTCCAGCTTTGGTTGGCTCTGCAGGATGTCTCGACCTTATGAAGTAATTCTTGTCAAGTGGAAAAACCAAGATTCATCTTCCTAAGGGCAAAATTAACCCCGCACTAACACCACCATGAACCGGCTCCCTGCACAGGCTTTTCCCAAGGTTGGGAGGCGCAGGGAGAGCTGGGTCTTTGCTGGAGCACACCTGTCTACCCAAGAAGGGCAGCGTGCCAGCAAGCCCCTCTCATTTCAAGGTAAAATTGGTATTTATGGATTTCCAAACAATTTCCAACCACACTAGCTGACACATGGACATTTCTCAGCAAAAGTGCTGGAAATCTCAGGTGGCTCCTGAAGGATACGCATTCGGAGGCTGCAAGTAAACATCAACAGACAAAGTCAATGGCCTTAAAAAAAAAAAAAGGCAGAAAAATGAGTCACCGGAGTGTATTACTCATATCCGAGCAGAGTCATGCTTTAGGTACATGTGACAGGCACCGCAGGAGCAGAGGAGCCCGGCTCGTCCCCCGGCCGTCCGGGGACACCGTACCCCCAGGGCAGACGAGGAGCATGGGGCGCAGCGCAGATGGGGATTTGCTAAATAAAGCTCCAATCCACCAGCCTCATCCCTGCACAGGATCTGGCCCTGGCAAATCCCCCAGCATTAACGGCAGTAACAGGCAGCCGGTGGATTGTTTACATGTCCGCATACGTGGCTCCACAACCCTTTCACTAAACGATAATTAAACCTTTACTAAAAATAAGCTCATCCATTTATCTGTTCCAGGTGGAAACACAGTGGATGAGGCGAGGCCAGACCCCCTGGCAGCCTCATTACAGATAGCTCCCATCACCACGCAGCGCTGGTGATTTCTCCCCCATCACCTGCAAAATAGGCTTTCCAACAAAGTTCAACCATTTGCCTCTTCCCCTATAAAATTAGTTTCTTCCGTGCAGGGCACTGGAGGTTGGTGTGCATTTGCTGGAGGTTATAAATCCTGGGATGCAGGAATCTCACTGCAAACGTGGATGTTTGTGCTTTGCTGTAGGACAGCTAAAGTCAAACCCAAACCCTTGCATAGGCTGCCATTTGGGCTCTGAAAGTGACATCTTTACAAGATTCCTTGCTCAAAAGGCTTCTCCCTACCAGGGAAGGAGGCTGGGAGATGCAGGGCCCCACCAGGAGCATCTCACCCAGGTCTCCAGTGAGCTCAGGAGGGCACAGGGGCAGATCAGCCCATGAGCCGTGTCCTGAGCACCAAATGGGCTCGCACAACCTGCTTGGAAACGCTGCTGCCTGTGAAGCTGAATCAGAAGCCCCAAGATGCTACCAGGCTCAACCACCCTGCATCGTGTTTTGCACAGCCAGAGCATTGCACAGGCATCCAGAGTCCCCCAGTGGGAGCAGGGCTGGATCAGCTTAAGGAGCTCACGGAATGAGCCCTGACAGCAGCTGGGCCCAATCTTGTCCCTTCCTGCCCATCACGAGGAGCTCATTGCCACCACCCCAGGCGGGAGCACTGGTGACCATGTGCTGCCCTGGCCTGGCAGGGGCTGGAAGGAGGAGAAGAGCAGCACCCACCTGCATCCCCGCATATCCCCAGGCACAGGGCCCCTTTCAGGACGCAGCTGCTCCTCGCTCCACAATAAAGCCCGTTACCTTCTGCTCTATTAGTTTTTTGCTCTATTCATCCCGGGTTTTCCCATGCACAAAGACCTGCCGGGCCCTTTCCGTCTCAGTGAGCTGCTCTGAGGGGAGATGCAGGAGCGAGCCCTCGCACGCAGCGCCACAGCCCTTCAGGGATGCACGCTCAGAGAGGCAGGAGAGCCGGATGGGGTGCCTGCTTTCCCAGCAGCACTGGGGAAAACATGTTTATCGTGTGTTTAAAGAGAGACTCAATGCACTCATCTCTCCTCTGGATACAGAGGATAGCAAATCTTTGGCGTGGAGGAGGCTCACTGGGGATGCAACAGGAGCAGAGCACAGCACAGGCGCACGCTGTGCCCCCGGCCCTCCCTCAGCCTTGCCAGCCCCCCTCCTGCCCACACTTCTCCACGTGCTGCCTCTTGCCTTCCCACAACGCCTGCCCCCACCAGCATGCAGGGAAACAGCCCCAGGGGCCACACAACCACGGCCAGCCCCCAAGGAGCACCCTGCAAAACGCTCTGCACCCTGCCAAGCACACAGCCCAGGCTGAGAACCAGCACAGCAGCATCCCACAGGACCCCAAACCATCCTCAGTGCAAGCAAGTCCCTAATCACAACCACGGCGCAAGTCACAACAGGGTTGGAAATGGGCAGTGGTTCCCCTGAAACCAAACGAGGTGTCTCATGGGACCAACTG